TTCAGTAATGCTTTTTTTTTTTTTTGAATTATATGTCTAACGTAAAATTATGCATAAGTATTGACAAGTATAAAAGGGTTTTTTTAAATACTATGCTATAACGTTTTATTTTATTTTTGAAATAATCACTCCATAAAATTATAATCCCAATCTAATTAAGTTTGAGAAGGTTACTGATCTACTTAGTGATTTTATTTATTCAATTTAATTTTTCCTTGCATTGATGAAAAACAAAGTTAAGTCCGTTTATTAGTTGTAACTGCTGGATAATTTGACTCATAAATAGTAATTAGTGTAACATTTAACACGTCACATGTGATCAATTAGTGGCACTAAACGTACATTTGTAGCCGTTATATGTATTTGGCTTAATTGTTAATTTATTTAATACGAGTTTTATGTGACACGTAAAAATAAACGGAGAGAATATTATATTTTCTTAAGAGGTTCTCAATTGTGCACGTCAATCTATGAGTGTCATCATTGATTAGATATTTCCAAATTCAAATTTTGAAAACGTTTCACAATCGATATTACCAACTTTAATTATACACATAAATTTCAATTAAAACAATCTTGTAGTTTTATATTTATTCGAGGTAAATTCATATAATTAGAAGATGTGACATATTTTATATGATTAACTATTTAACTTATCTACGCAAAAAATACTTAAAAAAAATATTCACAATAAGAGTTGAGAGTTGTGAATACATTTTTATGTCTTCAAACTACCAATAGATTTAAACCACAATTCGAAGGTATAAATGACATATACTGACCAATTTTAAAAAATCATCTATAGATTATTTCCACCTAAAAGCATATTTAGGTGTAAGTGTGACAAATTTATTCCACGTTAAAAAAATATAGAGTTTGTAGACTTCACGTAATTCTTTTTATAAAAATTATTATATATGGCTAGTGCTCAATTAATCAGTGCTACTATATAATTTTGGTGGGCATAAAGTATAATAAGTATTGGTAACGGAGTTAGATATTTTTTGAAGAATATATAATTATTTTTTTAATATGTTAAAGGATGAAAAAATTAAATATATATTTATAATATCAAATATTTAACGTGTGTCCGCCCCCTCATTTCTTAATAAAGAATATACACCAAATCATCCTTTAATTAAGGTGGATCCACCAATGAGTGCTAATTAAATTATGATATATTTAAATATCTCCTAGACCCAAATCCTCAAATAAAATACTCCATCCTTTTTTTTTCATGGGAATCAATAAATAAAAATATAATTTTATTATATTACATTAAATTATATAAGTCATAAGTCATCTCACACATTGAAAATGATTAGTACTAGATTTAGTGATAAGAGTAAAAGATATAAAACAATAAAATATATTTTTTTATCTTCAAATTGGACAAATAAATATGAAATATTTATTTTTAATATAGTGGACACACTACAAAAAATAAAAGAATTAATAGGAATTATTTCACAGTAATAATATAATTGTCATTTATCGTTTTATTATATTTAACGATAATTATATAACGTACCAACATCCTATATGAATATTATTAAAGACTTTGACGACTTTAAATATAATTAACATCAATTTAATTGTTATTAAATATTTTTGTGACAATAAATATTATTACTAAATATTTCTTTTATTATTATAACAATTAAAAATAGACGGACAAAGTATATGATTCTGAAATGCATTTGTTCTTATACATAGCAAAAAGTCAAATGATTTGTAGGGCTTTATTTAAAAGCATCTATTAATTGTACTAAAAAGATAACTATTGTGGAATTTCTTTTTATAATCATTTGCTTTCCTATGGATTTGATGGTCGCATTTATTCGATTACTATTAATTTGAATATTATTCCCTTATAAATTGTATTTCAACCTAATTTATAGTTCAAAAAAGGACAAATTATTTGTTGTCTTGTCGAACATTTTAAAAAAAAGTATTAATACCCTTTTAAAGGTAATAAAAATATTAAGCTATTTTTAAAAAGTATTTGGCATTACAAACCCTTTTATATGAAGTCATCCCAAAAAAACAAAGTTTATGAAAAATATTTAATTTTATATTATATGATTCCTTTGATTGATCCCACATAGATGAGATGACCTATATTATTTCCTTAAGAAAATAGTCATTCCACACAAGAAAATAAAATAATCTAATTAGTCAAAATAAAACAAAACAGTCTCGACCACAATCATTTTCTTATTTATATTTGATTAAAGTAATTAAACTTTTTTTAGTATCACTAATTAATAATCCTCAATATGTTTTTGTGATATCGTCTACTGCCACCTCCAGAAGCTACCTCTCGTGATAATCAGATATTTGTGTTTAAAGTTATACTACGTAGATTTATAAAAAAATATTGATAAATATATATTGAACACTTTTAAAATAATATAATTTTAAAAAATTTAAGCAATTTAAAATAACAAACATGCAATTAAATAGTTAATAAAGATATTTTCACTAAGCATAGCTACTCTTCATCTATATACAAATAATATAAAGATTCAATAAAATAATTAAGATGCGCATGCAATGACTGAACAAGATAGTCATTATAAATTGTAATAATATGAAAGAAAAAACGAATGTCACTTGAAGTTTTCAATTTGCTTAGCTTTTTCTAGAAAAAATAAAATTAATTATGAAATTTATTGATAATTTCTAGCTAATTAATTAGTAAATAACTTTTTGTTATTTGAATTTTCATATAATTCATAGCTAATACGTAGCTAAATGATCATATTAGCATGAGATTTTTACCGTACTTTAGCTATAAAATTTTGTTCGTTGCTAGTTTTTTATTTTCTTATCGTAGTAGATAGAATTAATTCAGATTAAACTAGTTAAAACAACAAATATCTGATAAAAGTTATTGAGATACTCATATATTTTTATCAAGGGTAGAGACACCTTAGGTGAAGACTGGTCTGATGCGCACCCTGTTGAATCCATCCCATTTTTTAGTCAACGTTAGCTATTCAATTAGTACAAGCAATTGTTATATAGGAATAGTAATTGGAGTTGAAAATAAAAGATTTGGTGGTTGACAAATTGATAAGATTTGCAATCATTCTTGACTTTGCTATGTAGTGGCACATGCATGGTTTTATCCTTCTATAAATATAATATTCTTGCTCATTTGTAAAATACACCAAGTTAGAGAGAAAAACCATTTTGAGAGCAAAGTGAGGTATTCCATAGACTATAGAAGAAAATAGTCTGTGAAGAAAAATAGAGTGTGAGCGATATTTTAGTAAGACGGAAACCAAAAGAGTGTTGTTCCTTTTGAGTGTGTAGTAGTCACTTTGAGTACTGTATACGTGACTACATAGTATAAATTCCTTACTATAGTAATGTCAGTTGCTCCTCTTGGCTCGTGATTTTTTCCCTTATTCAGAAGGATTTCCACATAAAATTCTTGGTGTCGTTATTTTCCTATTTTATTTACATTACTTTTACCATATTTACTTTTGTGTTTGTCAGCATTTTCCCAACACACCCTTCATTAAAAAATTAGCATATAAATGTATATTTAATTTTACATTTCCTTAATATAATTGGGAAAAAAAATTAAACACTCTTCGTTAAATTTCTACCTCCTCTTGACTACGATAGTTATAAATCGTAATTTGTAATTTGTAAAAAGTTGTAAAGAATGGCAGGGTCCAAAGAGGCTTTAGGGAAATACTTTTTAGATGAGCTATGTTGAGTTGTCTGTTTCATGCCCCCCACACAAATAATAAATCTTCAATTCTTAATCAACTCTTCCCCATCCACTACTTTTTTCCTCTCCTATAAATGGTACCTCTTTGTTATCTCACATGAGTTTGAAAAATAAAAATATTATATTAAAGATTATGAATATTTAACTTGTTAAATTAATTTCTAATCTCATATTTAAAAGTTATATATATATTATTTTAAAATTAAAGTTTAATCGTTATATATCATTGAATTTTTTATTAAGTGAATACTCTTGATATCTTCTAGATCCGCCTTGCTAGCACACAAACCTGAACATACAGAAAGGAAAAGTAAAAACATACAAGGCTAAACAAATACCATATCTTTTATGCTTTCTTGATCACTTTTTAAGTTTTACGTATCTATTTTGTTAATTAAGATCTTAGATTTTATTTTTTGTAAAACTTATTTTTACTTTTGAGTCAACATAAAAGAAAAGGCAACATAATTAATGATGATTTATATAGTTATTTTATTTTGCTTGATATTTTGCATCGTAAGTCATTATAAAGACAACTCAATTTTGAGTTTGTATGGTGACTATGGTGTATAAAAACACCTTTGTTATTTGTTAGAAAACGTAGAGAATTATTCATAGAATTAGAGTAAGAAAAATAATTTCCATTTGAATATAACCTCTCCCTAACGAGACTCTTCATAATTTCTATTTTTTTTTCTTATTAAGACAAATTTTCCGTAACCAAAAATTACAGGGACATCAAACACTTTTTGAGAGTTAATCTAATTAATTATATTCAGATTAAAATTGATACGTGTAAAATTATGATATGAAATATTACACTCTATAACAAGCTTCACGAGTAAATTTTTAAGATAATTTTTTTTATTATACTTGATATCTTTTCTACTGAATAAAACTTCAAGTTCATCTGTTTTCAAGATTATTCTGATAATTCATTCGAAAATATCTTCGATATATGTACCCATTTAACCGACATTATAAATAAATTAAGACTTAAACATTCAAATAAAAAAATCTAACCAAGACAAGATTTTCTCCAATCAAAATATTAAAATACTTATATATAGCTAGGTACCTACCTAATTAGTCTATTGTTCTACTCTTTACTCCCTATTAAGCAACATTATTGGTCACAATATCAATTATTCAAATACAACAAAATCATAAAAGTAAAAGCTAACTATAGGACACTAAAATATAGGAAAACACCTTACAATTAATTAATATAATATAAAATATGAACCACTTGTATGGGTTGAGCAACTCAAAGCAAAATGTTATTTTGTATTAGAGCCTGAAATTATGGAACAAACATTTTTGTATGGGACACCATCATATTCCTTTTACCCTTGACAAAAGCAACTAAACAACAAAAAGAGAGTCCCTAGCTCCTTATAAAAAGGAAGAAAAAAAAAGTTTCTTTATGGAACATCATCAAACTTGTCTTTGATCATCTCATTAACCAAAAGGCCATCTTGTTCATCATCATCATCATCACTAATGTCATCTCTATGTCCCATCATCTCTAAGTTGGTTAGTCGCTTCGCTTTCAGCGCCTCGCCTTCCCAGTCTGTGCAGCAATGGACAGCATATAGAATTGAGATAGCACAGGCTGCTTGAGCTGATAACAGACCATACCATAGACCACTAAAACCAACTTTTAGCCAGAAGGCTAAGCATAATGCTATCGGAGTGCCAACGAAGTAAAATGAGCCAAGGTTGATCCTGGCACCTATAACCGGCTGAGCTGTTCCACGGAGTATGCCACAACCGGTGGTCTGAGGACAGTTTCCGAGCTCACACAAACCGATGATTGGTAAAACTGATGCAACAAGTGCTTGAAGCATCTCATCTTTTGTAAATAAGCCTCCCCATTTGTTCCTGAAGATCACCGTCCATATAACGTTTATGAATCCAATGACAAACGCACAAGCTAATGCAACTACTGCAGCTAACTTTGCTTTGTATGGTTTCCCAGCTCCTAACTCGTTCCCGACCTGGATTGGAAGTTAAATCAGTACAACATTACAGGACTGATCTCACTTCTTTTTTAACAACCGGCAACGTCAATACAAGAAAATGGTATAACATTATAAATTAGGATGGAAATAAAATGCCAAATATGCAAAGAGATGCAACTATTTAGGCATGAATTTTTGGTCAACTCTAGTTGGTTAAATGGCGATGTCATATATAAGCCAATAGATAGGGGAAGTTATGAATAAGAAGAAGCAACGGGGCGTCCATGTGGCTCCTAGCACGATATCTGTAACCATTCACTGAATCGGATGGATAGGGATGTACATAAAGTATGATGTGATCAAGTAACTGACAAAAAACATACAATCTTTAGGAAGATTATGTGATACCAGACACGAAAAAAGTTTCTGTTTTAGTCCAGTTTATGTTATAGTTATAATGAAGCCTCTCTGTCCTCTTTGGTATTTTAGTTACTATATGAAATCGAACCGATATTTCTATAACAACATGTCTCGTCTACATAACTGATGAAAAGCCAAAAAAGAGGAAATGGAGTTCAATATCATATAGAATCAAGCACTCTAATCCAAGAAGCACATAAGGGCCAAATTTAAAAGAACAACAAACTTAAGTTCACTGTGGGGTTCATTACACATCAATATGCACAAAATGTCGACACATTTCATTACCTTTTAGGCTCTTATTTCACCAAACTACCTAAATAAATGTTGTCAAGTACAGTAACTACAAAAAGATGAGCAGTCACTTGGAATAATGAATGGCAAAAGTATAATTGGCCTAACTGCTTTCCACTTCTAAAGCACTTGCTTGATCATTAAAAAAAGATTTAGGAGAACTAACCAACAAGCATTTGCACTGTATTTGACTCAAAGAGGTCAAATCATCAATCAAATTAAAGCAAGTTGTTCCCTTAACCCCTAATTAATCAGAATCACATCTTTTCACAATTAAATATATCAAGTTGACAACAACATTCACAAGCACCAATATGTTACACCTCAATGATCAAAGAGACAAGTTACGGAAAATTGGAACATATCCATTCATTAGTATTTGTCAGCAAACATTACAAAGATCATTATCAAATAAACATCACTTTATTTATTCTAGAATAAATAATTGCAGTAGTAGGAATATCGTTATATCATACATCAATAGGTTAAAGCACACAAAAACAGATTTTTTTTGTATTTGCGAGAACTCGCAGATTTCATGACTAGACAAGGTTTGTCACGAAATTGCATAATTATTAACTCCTTTTTCATTTCAGAGCAGACACAACTTATTGACTTGGTTGAGTCAGACTCCCCAGAGAAGAGGTCCAGGGTTAGTCTTTTGGGTGTGTTAGTATGTCACATATCTAAAGCAATTTCCCTTAATTACATGATAGGCATAACCGCAAGTTCTAAGAGTATTTGTGGTATGTGCTATAAGTTTAACTCCACGTTTAATTGAACACGATCAAAAAACAGTACCATAAACAAACAAACTGTAATGTTCAAATGGAAGTTCTTATCATGTTAACAGCATTAAGTGTGTATTACGTGATGCACCGTGCACGTAAGCAAAGCAATCACAGTTTTATGGAAACTTACCCTAGCAGATACACAGCCAGCCAAGGCCATGGGAACGGTGTACATAAGGCTAGTGGTCTGTATCATGATCCCAGTAGCAGCTACAGCAAGCCTTGGATTAGGCAAATATCCAGCAAGAACAGTTACAATCTCATACCACCACCATTCTAAACAGATACCAATACAACTAGGAACAGCCAACTTCAGCAGTGGGCCCAATCCACCACAAATCCCTCCAATCCCAGCCGTCCATCTCCACTCCCCCCTCCCATAAACATAGACATACCCCATCATCAGCACCATCATATGCAGATTAGTCAGCACTGAAGCCATAGCAACTCCTGGAACTCCTAGCCCCATCACCACAACCAAAAAATAGTTCAACGGCACATGAAAGAGCACTGCCACAAAAGTACACCACATCTGAGGCTTAGTCACCCCCTGTGACCTCAGATACACCCTCAGAGGCTGTAACAAAGTGTTTGTTGCAAGATCAGGGAGTGAGTAGATACAGTAAGTTGCAGCCATTGCTGTTATTTCCTTATCTTGACACATGAAAAGCATGATTCCCTCAAGATTAATCCACAAAAGACTTATTGGAATGATAGCCAACAAAAGTATGCAAATCATACGTTGTAGAGACTGTGAAAGCAAGTCCCAGTTCTTGCTTCCATAAGCTTGGCTACAAACAGGCTCAAGACCTGAAGCAAGACCAACAAGAACAGAGTAACCAGTTATATTTGTGAACCCAATGGAAAGTGCTCCACCAGCAAGTTCTAGACTTCCAAGTCTTCCCAAGAATAGAACAGACACCACTGCTCTAACATAGACTAAGCAATTCATTGCTGTTATTGGCAAAGCCATTCCCCATAGCTCCTTCAATTCCTCCACCACCTTTTTTTTTTCAAGAATCAAAATGCAAGCTTAGCACCACCTCTTCCATAACATTACACAAATAACAAAATTATAATCTTTGGAGGGTAAAAGAACAAAACCTGAGAAGCAGTAGGCAATTTGTGGGAGAAAAAATCAGGGTCTTTCTCCGCCATTAATGAACCCTGAGAAATGGGTAGTCAAGAGAACTCCTTAAAACAGCATGCAGTATCTGAAAACAAAACATAACCATCATTCAAGATTTCACCTTTTTCTTCCTCTACATTCAAAAAAAGCTAAAACAAAACAAAACCCACCTCTGCTATCAGTTTCCCAAGCCAAACTTAAAACTGTAACGCAAACAGAAAACAAAAAAAAACAAAAGATGAAGAAGAAGAAGAACACACAAAGTTCGTTCCTTTTCTTTCTTTAACACTACTAAGAAACAAAAACAATGAAAATAAAACCAACCCACCTTATATTTTACCTCTGAGCATCTGTTTCTGAAACCAAAATGTTTTGAATTTCAAGATTCACAGAGACAAGGGAAAGAAAATCGATGGGGTTCTATAGGGTGGTAATATGTTATGTGTATATATAATAGAAATGGATATAACAAGCTTTTTCTATTTTATTCTAAAGTAGTATATTGTATTATGATACACTCATACATACATATGTATATATATATATATGTATATACATATGGTAATGGCGGCGACTGTGACCTGAGAAGACACATGAGAAAAGGAAAGCACTCTGTTCTAGTATTTATTTGGAGTGGATGGATTGGGACCCTTCTATCAACCTATAAAAAACACAAGAGGCAGGCAGAGAGGGGTTGGAGAATGAGACAATGCCATTTTTTTTTTCTCACTACTGCTCCACTATATAGTAGTACTTTTTACAGTTACATTTTCAGTGACAAGTGTATTTATGTTGTGTGTCTCTGTGTGTGTAAAAGGGGAAGATAGAGGAACCTGGGAAAGGAAAGGAGTAAAGGACCACCAGTTGGGGTTTGGGGGTGGGGGTGCATGGTGGATTTTTTTTTTTCTTTAGCGGAAAAAAAAGGACAAATGTATTTTCAAACTATCGTAAATGGTACGTAAATATCATCCGTCATACTTTTAAGACATTGATGCCTCTGGGGTGGGGTTTGGGGTTTTTTTTTGTTTTCTCTAGTGGGAAAACGGACAAATATAGCTCCGTCATATTTTTGGGACATTGATGCTCCTGCCGTCCAAAAACTATAGTATATATACACTTTATACTAACAAACATACATGTGTCATAATCTTATCTAGCTATCTTATATTTATTGACGGATAAGATTGCATCACGTATCCCTATTTAGTCTTACGTTAGAGTGAAGGATATATATGCTCTAGTTTTTGGACGGCAAGAGCATCAATGTCCCAAAAGTATGACGAAAGATATGCGCGTCCCATTTACGATAGTTTAAGGATATATTTGTCATTTTTTCCTTCTTTAGTTGAGGAGAAAATTTCAAGTTAAATTTATTACATAAAATTTGTTAGTGCGGTTAACATATCTTGTGTGGTTTACATATTACATAGCAGGAGTTTATCTGGCGTGGACAGAGTCTTCATTCGAAGGACGAAGGCTATCGTCTTTCTAAAGGACGGGGTGTATTGCTTATGTCCGATTATGATAGAGATAGTGTGTTATCGTGAGATTTTAGAAAAATAAAAACATGTTAAAGTATTATATTCACTTCTCTTGTGAATTAAATTATTATATACTTGCATTCCTCATTTGATTCAATTATAACTAAACTTATTTAAATGTGATATTTCAACGCCATTCTTAAAAATACCCTTTGAATAGCATGTTTTTGTACAAATAAAACTATAGTATAAAATGCACAAATACGTTGTTAAAATTTTAGAGACATACTTTAATTAAATTAAAGTCCTATTATTTTTTTAATTTTTTAATTTTTTTTTAATTTGTGCATCTTTCGTCTTACGTGGCACACTCCGGGACTCCATGCAATAGAGGTGAGTAGGAGATATTTGAATGTCACATGAGCAAAAAAGGTAAACAAAATTACAAAAAGAATAAGTTCGAGGATAATAGAACCTTAATTTAGTTAATGTGTGTCTCTGAAATTTTAAACATAGTTTAACGAGTACTTGCACATTTTCCTTAACTTTTTAAAAAAGTGTCTAGATTTATTTATTTATTTATATAGACAGGCTCTTTTTTTAAAAATAAAAACAAAATAATTAACTTTTGGAATTTAATGATAAAAAATGACCTAGAGCTTTTTCTTTGTCGATTATTGTAATTATTTATTACAATAATAAGTTTTTATTGAAATGCAAACCGTAGATTTGAAATAATGATAATTTGATTACAATAAGTTATCTAGCAGAAAGTAGTGTTGCAAGTAGCATTACATATAGTACCTAAATAATTATTTATGTTTATTTTGACCTCTAGAAAATATCACGTTTTGTTCTCTCCTCATGTGATTATATGGTAGAATTTTTTAAATCTCCGTCGACTACTTTATGTGTCGATTTTATGAATATTATATATTCTTATTGAAAATTCTGGCTTCAAATATAATTGATATATGTGTTTACTTAATATATATATTTATAATTTGATTCAAAATATATTATAATTGTGAAAAGTTAACTTCAGAGTGTATAACATGAAGTCTATCGTGTTTATATACATTATAATAATAGAATTTTTTAAATCTCATTCGACTACTTCATGTGTCGTTTTTATGAATATTAAATTTTCTTATTGAAAATTCTGACTCCACATATAATTGGCGTATGTATTTAGTTAATATATACATTTATAATTTGATTCAAAATATATCATAATTGTGAAAAGATAACTTTAGAGCGTATACATGAAGTTTACCGTGTTTATATACATTATGATAATAGAATTTTTTAAATTCCCTTTGACTACTTCATGTGTCGATTTTACGAACATTAAATTTCCTTATTGAAAATTTTGACTCCACATATAATTGGTGTATGTATTTAGTTAATATATACATTTATAATTTGATTCAAAATATATCATAATTGTGAAAAAATAACTTTAGAGTGTACACATAAAGTCTACCGTTTATTGAGTATCTATTGTACGTCAAAAATGATACCCCTTAATTCAAAGCATTGTGATACGTATAAGCATACTTCTATACATAATAGAAATTGCGTATACATTGTAATACTATACATTTAAAATAGCATAAAGCTTCACTTTTTCCCCTCGTTGAATGTGTTTAACCCCAATATAATTTTTGCTTCGATTTGATTATTAAGATGATTGTACATGTGGTAAAATTACTGTTGTAGAAAGGAAAAACGTACAAGTATTTTCTCAACGTATGTCTGAAATTTTAGAGACACACTTATATTATACTAAGTTCTTATTATCCTCTGAACTTATTTTACAAATAATTTTCTACCTCTTTTCGGTCTACGCAACACTAATTTGAAAAAAATGTCAGCACACGTTGGACCTACAAGATAGTACCACGAAGGCCAAAAAGGCCTAGAAAATTATTTATAAAATAAATTCAGGAGGTAATAGGACCTTTTTGTATAGTATAAATATATCTCTGAGATTTCGGACATAACTTGAATAAATACTTATGCATTTTCCTAAAAGAATGTTTGCCGTCTCATTCACATTCACTGAATAATCAATATATACAAAAGTGTACAAGCCTAATTTTAGGCAAGAGATAATTACGGAGATTATTATCAATTACATAGATAATAATCAATTACAAAGATAATCGCTAAATATAAAAGATGACAACTAATTAGAATATTTACCAAAAGATATTGTACAATAAATAGATTATTTCCATAATCTATCACACACCCGCAGTCGAAACGGGAGATTTACGAATGTTGAGACTGTGCCGGAAATCATCAAATAATACCCGAGGGAGACTTTTAGTAAAAATGTCGGCAAGCTGATAACGAGATGGTACATGTAGTACTCGAACCTCACCCCGTTGAACTTTCTCACGAACAAAATGTATGTCCATCTCAATATGTTTGGTACGTTGATGTTGTACCGGATTACTGGAAAGATAGATGGCACTTACATTATCACAGTAAATCAATGTAGCCTTGGAAATAGGAAAACCTAGCTCGAGAAGTAAGTTTCGAACCCAACATGATTCAGAGACTACATTTGCAACCCCACGATACTCTGCTTCAGCACTAGACTTAGACAGAGTTGGTTGTCGTTTTGCTGACCAAGATATCAGGTTATCACCTAGAAACACACAATAACCTGACGTAGAACGACGAGTGTCGGGACATCCGCCCCAGTCTGCATCCGTGTAGGACAAAAGGGAACTAACAGATGACTTAGACATGTGCAAACCATAGTTAAGCGTACCATGAACATAGCGAAGAACACGCTTTAAAGCATTCATATGCTCAACCCGTGGAGCATGCATAAACAGACAAATCTGTTGAACAGCATAAGAAATATCCGGACGAGTAAAAGTCAAATATTGCAAACCCCCACACAGACTACGATAGTGAGTAGCATTCTCATAAAGATCGCCGGATGAGGAACTCATTTTCCCTTTGGAATCAACAGGAGTAAGAGATGGTTTGCAAGAAGTCATACCTGCTTTAGCAATAATATCCTGAGCATATTTCTTTTGAGACAAAAATAAACCAGATTTGTCTCGAGAGACAGCAATACCTAAGAAATAGCTCAGTGGACCCAAGTCTTTCATAGCAAATTCAGATGCAAGGCGAGAAATAATTCGAAGCCTAAGAAATTCTGAAGAAGCAGTTAAGATAATATCATCAACATAAAGTAGGATAAAAGCAGTTTCAGTACCATGGCGAAAAATGAACAATGAATTATCAAATTTGCTATGGGAAAATCCAATGGACGCCACAAAATCAGAAAACCTTTGATACCAAGCTCGGGGGGCTTGTTTGAGACCGTAGAGAGACTTACGGAGAAGACAAACATGATCAGGTCGACTAGGATCCTTGAACCCCATTAGTTGGTACATGTAAACAGTCTCATTTAAATTACCATGTAAGAAAGCATTTTTAACATCCAATTGATGAATTTGCCAAGACTTGGATAAAGCAATACTAAGCACCACCCGAATAGTAGCCGGTTTAACAACCGGACTAAAAGTCTCATCACAGTCAATACCTTCCCTCTGTGTCTTACCATTACCAACAAGACGAGCCTTATGTCTTTCAAAAGAACCATCAGACTTAGTCTTATGCCGAAAAATCCATAGAGACCGAATAATATTAACATCAGACGGTCGCGGGACTAAATCCCAAGTAGCATTTTTAATAAGAGCATCATACTCTTCCTTCATAGCAATTTTCCAATTATGGTCACGAATGTCCTGAACAGGGTTCTTCGGAATGGGTGATATGGAGGTAGTAGTATGATTGGCCTGGTCATGGTATTTAGGATTCGGTTTTAAAATTCCATGTTTACTACGGGTGTTCATGGAATGCGATGGTTTAAAGGAGTGGGAAGAGGATGATGTGATGGCAAAAGGTGGTGGTTGCCTATCATTGGCAGCGGATACAGGAGGTAGGCTGCCACTGCCTTGCTGCAGGGGGGTCGCGGTTTGCTGGGTATGGTCGCGA